CCAACTCTTGGGCTACTCTTTTTACCAACGAATAGTGGGATTGACCGCAACATTATGACGCCCCCACGGCTGAAAGGGCGAGCATGTTTGGTGTGACGGGGATTCGAACCCGCGACCCTAAGATTATGAGTCGAGCGCCCTAACCACCTGGTCATGTTTTAATAATATTGAACTTTATCAAAAGAAAGCTTAGTGACTATAAGTTTATATTTTTGTTTTCTTTCCTTGATTTTACTTAAATATATTTATCATTATTATTATTATTACTTTCTCGCAGCATTCACGACTGTATGTTCGTTTTCCACTTTCAGTTGTGAAGTCTGAATTCATATTATTCAACAGGAAATAAATATTAGAAGTTTCCCAGCTTGCACTATGACACTCATTCTCTTCCTATAAAAACCGTAATAATCACATCTCTATCACAGAATATAGGACGTTACCGCACTCGTAGCCTGTAAACTCAGACCTATGTCACAGAATCTAGGACCTTATTGAACTTTTGTCCTATAAATTGAGAGCTATATCACAGAATCTAGGGCGTTATCGTTCTCTTAGCCTGTAAACTCAGAGCTGTATCACAGAATCTAGGGCGTTATCGTTCTCTTAGCCTGTAAACTCAGAGCTATATCACAGAATCTAGGGCGTTATCGTTCTCTTAGCCTGTAAACTCAGAGCTGTATCACAGAATCTAGGGCCTTATCGTACTCTTAGCCTGTAAACTCAGAGCTATATCACAGAATCTAGGGCCTTATCGTACTATTAGCCTGGAAATTGAGAACTATATCACACAATATATAGGACTTTATCACACTCTTAGCCTGTAAATTCAGAGATATATTGAAGAAACTAGGACCTTATTGCACTCTTAGCCTGGAAGTTCAGAGCTATATCATAGAATCTAGGACCTCATCACACTCTTAGTCTGGAAATTCATAAATATGTCATAGAACCAAAGACCTTATCGTACTATTAGTGCATAAGCTCTGTCCTATTCCACAGAAACTGGGAGAGCTAGTGAGACCGTACGGTAGAATTCACTTAGAAGCATTGACTCATATGACAAAAACTATTATTTCTATCAAACTCTTAGGTTGGAAGGATTAAACTATACCACAAAAAGACCTGATGGTGGGACTCTGTGGTTTAAATCATTGCTTCTAACTTGAGGAGACAGTAAGTAAGGATTCTAGTATAGGTAAATACTTTTCCGTAGAAACTACGACCCCTTAAACATTCTGGCCTACACTATAATAACTGAAACTTCTTTTGAACTCTAAAATTATATTTTCTGACGAAAATACCAGAACATAGATTTCGTGGGCATTGCTAGGTTAGATAACCTGACGTATAAAATGAAAATTAGCACTGTTATCACGTCCTTACTTGAAAGACGTGACCTACACCCCATAAACTATGACCACTATCGTATCGGTTGGAAAGTCTTGGCTATACTACAGAAATTGGGATTCCTATTATAACACAAAGCTAGAAGGTCTGTATGTGTTACACAACTTAACACTCCTCCCATATTCTTAGGTTAAACGGTTCAACCTATAGCACAAAAACTATGAACCTAACGGTACTCTTACATTAAAAAGCCTTTTCTATACCACAAAACTAAGATACTTATCTGAACGAATGTGCTCTGACTCATAACACAAATCTAGTATTATTCTCTTAGAGTAAAATCAGAAGCTGTGATCTATAAAACATAAATTTGGGTTTACATTGAGTGGTGTTACACAGACTCTAGCAATCCTATCGCACTTTTAAACTAAATGCTCTGGCTTATGCCACAGAAAACAGAATACTTATCACACCATTAAGTTAGAAGCTCTGATTTATACCACAAAAACTTTGCCCCACTGTACCTTACGGTCAAAATCTCTGCCCTATACCACTGTAAGTAGGAACAGTAGAACAGAAACTAGGATCCTTATTACGTCTAATGTAGGTCTGAAAGAGATCAGGACCGCTATTTTACTATTAAGTTCAGATTTATGACTTTTTTACACCGAAACTATCGCAGTCTATCCGAAAGAGACTAGTATCTCTACTTCACCATTATGTTAGGAGTTCTAACGTCTAACCTCAGAAACTAAGTTAGAAGCTCGTACCGAAACTTCATGAAATACGAGTCCTGTTACATTCTTTCAAAAGCTGTGATTTGTATCATAGAAACTAGACTATGACCTTTGTTATAACTTTGGATTGAGAGTTTTAACCAATTGTATACAAATTAAGACTTTTACATTTCCCTTAAGTTAGATGCATTGACCTATGTCACAGAAACCGGAATACTTAGTACCACTAGGTACAGAACTCTGCCCTTTTCCACTGAAACTAAAAACCTTATCGCATTCTCAAATTTGAAGATCTGACGAATATAGCAAATAGTCTTTTATATTCTACAACCGACCCCCTACATCCTAAAACTACATTCGGTATCACACCCTTAGGTTAAAATATTTTTATGTTTCACAGAAACTAGAGACTATAACCATCCTTAAGTTACAAACTGTAGCCTGCACTACAAAAAGTAATATTATATTAGGTGAAAAGCTTTGACATATGCAACAGAAATAAAGAAGGACCCCTGATCTACCGATAAGTTAAAAGTCCTGACCTATACCAAAGACACTAGCACTCTTCTTTTTAGGCTAGATACTTTAGCCTATATCACGGGAATAAGGGCCTCTTTCATAGCTGTGATATAGTGTCTTGGACCTATATGAGAACCACCACCACAACAAAAAGAATGCTAGGACCTCGATTACATTGTTAGGTTCGAGGCCGTATTATGTCACTACAGAAACTAGGACTGATATGAAATCCAAAAGCTAGAAGTTTCTTTTCTGTATGGCACAGAAAGTACAACTTCACTCACACTCTTTGGTTGGGCATTACGACCTCTTCAACAGAGATTAGGCTAGGATCATTATTGCAATCTTAGGTTAAAAGATTTGACCAACACTGATAAATTAAAATCCCTATTACTCCTTTGAATTAGAAGCTCTGTCCTATTCCATAGAAACAAGAATCTCTTGTACAATTGAATTCAGAGTTATATCCTATTCCATAAAAACTAGGACCTCTTGTACGATTGGTTTCAGAGCTCTTTCATGTTCCATAAAAACTACTAGAACTCTATGCACTCTTAGACTGGACACTCTTTCCTACACCATTAAACCTACGATTGGTTTTACATCATTAGATTCAAGTCCCTGACCTATATCAGAAAAACAATACCATTAATGAGCCATTAAATTAGAAGTTTTAAATGATACCACAGAAACTTGTACCTACATAGTATACTTAATTTAGAAGCTCTGACGTATACCACATAAACTAATACCCTCATTGGGCTCTTAGGTTAGAAACGTTGACCTTTACCACACAAACCTATTGTTGCATCTCACCATTTGGTTAGAAGCTTATATCTAATGCAACAGATACATATGGCCTTTACCACATTCCTAATTTAGAAATTTTGATCTATACCCC